AGAACTTAATTTATCGCGTCTCGCAGAACTGGACCAAGAGATATTTGATGCCGAACATGAATTAGGTGATCATAGGATCAGCGAAGAAGAACGACGAGAGTTAAACGATAAATTGAGCGACTTAGACGCTGAAAGATCCGCCAGATTAGAAGCCGCAAAAACCAACAAACGAGGGCTCAAAAGTCAGATCGCTAGAATCAAAGAAACGATTAATAAAATTTTAGGCGACGACACGACTCTGGCAGAAAAGATTAGAACTCTGTTTAGAGAACAAGGTGTGACCGTAGTGAGTATTTTAGCCGCTTTGAGTTTAGCCATCAGCACCATAGTGAGTAGCATCGTCGCTAGCGTGAGAGGTGCGGGTGCCCCACCCGCGCCATCGCCAACACCAACACCAACACCAAAAGGTGGTATCAAAGAGTGGATTTCAAAACAACTCGCTAATTTTGCATCTGCTCTTCAAAAACTCGGAGTGAGCGCGTTGGGTGCTCTGCCGGGTATCATAGGCAGCGTATTGAGTTGGATATTAAACGCGCTGAGTAAGTCCGTATCGTGGTTGGCCGAACACGTGTGGGCTTTGTTTTTGGGTGTGGGAGCCTTGGTGTTTGCGTACCTGCAAAAACGATGGTAGTAATAGTTGTAATCAAGTTTAAAAACAAAACAACAACAAAAAAATAAGCCTTACCAGCACAAAGTTGGTAAGGCTTATTTTTTTTTGTGAGATTAGAGTGTGACTTATCGCGTTGCCTCGTAAGCTAAAATACCCATGCCAACGATAGCTAATATTCCTACCGTCAACAATAATTTTTCGTCTTGGTGAGTTTGTAGTTTCGTGGGTTCTTGGGTTAAAACTGTAGGTGCTGGTGTTGGTGAGGGTGTAGGTGCTGGTGTTGGTGAGGGTGTAGGTGCTGGTGTTGGTGCTGGTGATACAATATCGTTCGTCATAGGCTCTGGGGGTGTTGGTGGCGCGACGTCATCGGTGTCATCAAAAGAGTCGTCCGGTTGAGGTTGTGAGTTTAAATCTGGCACCAAACCAGTTTTCATACTCTGGGTAGCGATTTGAAGATTGTTGTTATAGCCGTCGTGCGTTCGAACCCTCAAGTTCATATCCGATGGAATTAAATACAACCCCGGTTTCACGACAAAATTTAAAGGCGTTCTGGCATACTGCAAAGAGTCTTGAAATTGATCGATACTCGTTTCCATGTCGTCTACTGCATTGATGATATCTTCAACGATGATGTTAAATTGTCTCTGAGCGTCTAATCCGGTGCCTGGTGATAATACACTCGTTTTTGTTTGAGCCTGCGCACCGAGTAAAGCGTACACGTAAGATCTGATCGATTCGTTGATCTTTATGATTCCCGCGGAGGTAAACGAACTCTTGGCGGGTATAAAATCTAACCAAGCCATTTTGACGATGTCGTCTTGTTCGAGATAACCCTTCCAATGCTTAAAAAAAGCATCGTGTTTTTTTGGATCGTCTAAACCCCAATTTTTATCACCCGTGGGGTTGATAAAATCGTCGAGTGTGGTCGTGTTTTTATCATAGTCTAACGGCAAGAGTAAAAATGATTTTGTTTTTTCGTTCCAAAGAAAAAGCCGACCTAAGCCATAAGTCTTTTGATCTCTCGTCTGTTTAAAAGACTTATTTTGATCGATGGCAAACGTCCGACAGATATTGGTAAATGCTCCACGATCATAGGTGTTGCTGAGAGCGTCAAACGAGTCTTCTCCCGGTATTGCTACGGCCATGTCGTTTAATATCCTTCTCACCGTAAAGTATAGATGAAAATTAAATAAGGCTTTAACGTAACGGTTGTTCGAGTTTAAAATATCGATTCCAACACCACAGCCCGTTGTAGCGCAATAGATCGCAAAGTTTAACTGATTTTGATAAAAAGACATGGGGTCTATTTTCCAACGAAGTACAGCATCGTTGGTATTGAGGCGAGATATTTTATAGTCCGAGATTAAGTCGGGAAACGGGGTTAAAAACGTGTTAGACGCGTTGACCGTAATCTCGAGTTCGCCAGTGAGATACGGACTGTCTAGTACATGCGCTGGGGTGGTAGCTTGTCGTTTAGCTACATTTTGATTTACTTGTCTCGTTACCTGATCAGCTATCGATTGTATCTGCTTTTTTAACAACATAAAAGCAGCCATTATTTTAGTTTCAGTTTTAATATAAAAAGACTTTAAAATAAATGCATTCGTTTCACTTGTTTCAAAATGAGCAGACGTTTAAATTAGAAGACGTCGTAGATAATTTAAACGGTCAAAAATGTATACGCGTAAAAAGGGTGTTGTTTAACGCCGGATATTTTAATATTTCCAGCGCCACGGAGATTGATTGGTTTACGCAAATAGATGGGAGACCCGCGTTTACCACAGATAAGCCTTCCCCCATACCCGCGGAGTTTCTTTCAGATGTACACATAACAACGCCGGATAGAGATTTTATAGAGCGATTGTTACCCGATATACCATACCACTATTTATTTAACGATGAAAATGTTTTACAAAAAACTATAAACGATCTTATAAAAGCGTACGAAGACGATAGACTAGAATCCGTTTTAGAATCAAACAAAAGAAAAAGAGCTATTATAGCTGAACGGCGAGGGTTGATTTTAGCCGCCATGTCTTCAGAAATACCAAAAACTGAATTAGAACTTAATACGCTTCAATCTTTAGTAAGATTATTATATGTTAGAGAAAGAAAAATCTTTGAAGGTGAGGAATTGGCTTCAAAGTTTATTGAAGGAGAAATGGGTGCGAGCGAGTTGAGCGAGTTGAGAGATAGTAGGGAAGCAGGGGTAATTATAAGGGGAAGTCTTATCGTGACGGGTGAGGATTTAGATTTTATTCCTCCGAGTCATTTAGCGCCGTTACCACTCGGAAGTATCGGTTCGGTCATCATAGCACCGGGGTGGTACGACGTCGATTGGTTCGATTTCATTTTAAATTCTATACCCGGGGTAAGTTTTCGAATATTTAGAGAATCTAAAAAGGTGACGTTGGTGATAACCGACGTAAATCTCAAATTGCGCTTGAACAGAGAAGTATCTCGATTACTCAATTTACCCAAAGGAAGACTGGTACCCAAAGTGGTGTATACGGGGTCTTACGACGTTAATCCGTTTAAATTTTTGTTTATTCACTGCCCGCAATTAAGTACAAGTGAAAACTTTTTTAATGGTCGTCCTTCTGACATCTTAAAAATCGTACCCGTGGCTACGCGCAAACCCGATATTGATAGAGCCGAGGGATTCAAAAATCTTAAAAACGGTATAATCGACAAACTGACATTTTCTATCAGCGGTGAAAAAGGACAGGTATTCAACAACAAGGGTGAGGGTATCATTATCGAGTGGGAGATCTTTTAATTTTAAAATCTTTTTATATTAAAAACATGAGTGTAGATGGTAAGGCGTTATACCCCGATATTTCTGGAGATGTACTCCGATTAAATAGTAACGAAGAAACAAATGTGTACAGACTTAAAAAGATTGAAGAGATTCGATCTTTAATCTTGAAAGAGAGAGACCACCGAGAGCGCACTTATAAAAAAATAAAGAGAGTGATCGACACTATTAATTACGTAGAGATAGGATTAGAAGGATTGGGGGCTGTAGCGGGGGCTGTCAGTATTCCCGCTCTCTTGGGTGTTATATCAGCCCCCGTTGGATTGGTGCTAGAAGGAACGTTTATAGGCGCTTTTGGTGTAGATATTCTGCTTAGAATCGCGTCTAGGCGATTATCCGCCAAGCTAAAAAAGCACGACCAGATTAAAATATTAGCAGACTCCAAACTTAACACGATTGAAGAATACGTGTCTCAAGCCATCAACGACGGAGATATATCGCACGAAGAGTTCTTATTGATTACGAGAGAGCTCGCCAAATTTAACGAGCTTAAGCAGAAAATTAGAGCAAAGACCAGCACAAAGCTTCAAAAGATTAAAAACGATACAGACTTTGAAAAAGAAGTTAAAAAACGGGTAGACGAACGGCTGGCAAAAGAAAAAAAAATCTCTTATCGAAAAACTTACAAGTTCAAATTCACGGTAAATAAACATAATGAAAGCGAACCACCGAGTTATACCTCTATTTCACCTCTTAGGGCTACACCCTCGGCCCCGCCTTTATTGTAGTGGTCATCGTATCTTTTTAGTGCCTTATTAAATTGATTTTGAGTCACTTTAAATAAATCTCTAACTCGTTCTTTGTCTAATCCAACGACGTGATGATAACACGCCGCTATTAATGATCGTTTGACGCAACCATTTCCCCTCAATGTTTTGTAATTAACGAGCTCGTTATATTTATTGATTGTTTCTTGGACATCTTCTGAGCCTTGCTCTGGGCACACAGACAAAACAAGTTTGTCCACAGTTTTTCTTTTGTTTCGTTTTAAAATTGACCAATTGATACGATCTTCTTGCGCATTTTCGGCCGAAAAATCAAAGTAACGTGAGACTATTTCACCGCACGTTTCACAAACTAAAAAACCATTCTCGATGATTATATGATGATCGCACTGATCTGTTTTATTAGATAGCTCGAGGTTTTCACTCATTGATATATTTAATAAAAACCGATATTATTTTTTATTAATTTTTCAAATACTCGTCGGTCTAAACATATTACTCTCCATTTTTATATTAAAAAACAGCTCCTCTACCTTTTTTACAGGTAGAGGAGCTAATTTTTTTCTTTCTCTCACTCTCTCTCCGTTAGATTTATTTTTTTTATTTTTTTTTTCTTGAGATCGGGGGATTTCCCATTGGCCCTGTACTACCCACAGACCTATGACAAAGTCTGGTACCCTGACTTCTCATTAATGGCCCTGTACTACCCACAGACCTATGACAAAGTCCAGCACCCCCGCCTCCCTTACTACTGGAAATGCTTTCATTTGTATACCACCACCCTGCCCCTTCCACTCCAAACATACATTAACACTTGTTCATCCAATAAGAATAGGCTTATATTTACCAGGTCCCTCCAACGGCAAGTTGTAATTAGTGATATAAACTTCACTTGAACCAACAATGATAGGATTGTGGCTACCGCTGATTGTGCCGATGCTTCCTATGCTGGCTTCACTTCTTTGTGGGTAACCTACAATCACAAGAAAGAAAAACAATTGCGAGTGGACAATAAGCTCTAGCGAAAAACGCGACGCAGATGGCACATATGGAACACCATACCTTTAGTCAATTTTGGAGACATTAGATTTCCAACTTCTCGGTACCGTCAAACTACTACATAGAATACCACGCGACCATAATATTACTTCCCACATTTTGCCTCCATTTACAAACAGTTAATAAACACCTGTCGGAATTGTTACAAATATTCTGTTGGCTTTTTTTTATTTCAATTTGGTAGTTATAATTTATGGGACAATCAGGGGATATATTTTTGTAATTCTTTAGTGACAAACGTAAGCCAAATAAACGTACATATAGTCAATAAGTTTTGGTAAAATACTTTTGGTAAATTTTCGGGGACAGACATACAGACCAACTGACAGACCGACCACCAAGTGAAGCTCCTGCGCTGCCAGAGCTTAAAGCTATTCTTCGTATCAATTCAGTTTAATTCAATTCAATTTATAGTGGTTATTAAAAACATTTCTTGCAGGTGGAAAATGAACTGTAAATGTCAACATCAAAAAATTAATTTTACTCGTAGAAGTAAGTATCGTTTATTGAGATATAAACGCAAAGTGGTCGGGCAGCCAATAATTTCATTACACACTGCCCAGTTTTAGCTTAGTTGTGAATATTTTTTTGTCAGAACAGAAGTAAATCACAAAAGTTTGCTTTTCAAGTACAACTATTTGTTTTGTTTTGAAAAATATCATCTATTGGGTATGATCCATTTCAGTTTACATATATTTTAGGTAAACGTGCAAGTTATTTCCCGTTTAATGACGTCATCAGTCAAAACTGGGAAGGAATACTGATTTAGTTCGGAAAGGAAACATGTTTATCATTAAGTAAAAAAAAACATGATGACTTCACAGTATTTGGAAGCAGAAGAACAACATTAAATGTAACACATTTGTTTTTCATCTATTTACTATTATTTTTCAGTCAGATTCTGTTTTCGGTCAGAAACAAATGTTTCTTTGTCCGATTGTGGCTCTTTCTTTTTCTTTATTCGTTTTAAACTCATAACAATAATTAAATACATGGAAATCAAATCACTTGATGACGTCATCTTGCTTAAGTTGTACCTGACTTTTTCATTACCTGCAAAGTTGTAAGCCAATGGGGCTTGTATACGAGTTTGAGAAATTCACCTTCAATAAAGCGTCGCACACATGATGACGTCATCATGACGATACTCGACAACTTTTACATGTATAATGCGGTCGTGGTTTGTGTCAATTGCTGGCTTGATACAATAAAAAAAACAGTGTCAAATTTCCGAAGCAGAACAAAAATGTAACATTAAAAAAAATCGGTTAAGGTCAACCGATGACGTCTTCATGACGTAATTTTTTTATTTTACATAGCAGTGACAAAACCTATACTGTCTGTCGAGTTTCGTGTCGATCTGATTTTCCGCTTATCTATGTTTTAAACGGGCACACATTTATTCCGTTGTTTTTGTTGGAGTGTGTATCGCCTGAAAACCTATTACAAACACAATTATATCGTCGCGTGTTGCGTTCGTGAGATATGGCGAGATTTTAAAGTTAAAACATCCATATAAAATCACATATGGCGCCATCATAACTTCTTATCAAATTGTGCATATAACGCATCCCCGTATAGGTACATACCAAAATTCAACCCAATCAGACAAGTAATTCAGGATATATTGTCCTGAAAAGATTGCATCTTAACGGTTGAGTCACGTGACCAGCAATGACGTCATCGTGACGTCATGAGTTAGTGCACGTCTTCAGATTGTGGTCTAGGAGCATGCAAAGGTGGACGTAGATCGGATTAACAACAAGTGGTCTGTGAACCGCATGTGTTTTTTTACAGGACATCTTCCAAGTGACATTAAAATCCATCAAATTCTGTAGACAAAGACACTTTGAAGCATATTTAAACAACCACCACCAATGACCCCTACATGACCGTTGACCTCGGTAATCTGATGGAGAATTGTGTCTGTTCCCCAAAAGGTCACTATATCAAAGTTAAGTCGAATTCCATGAAAGCGTGTAGAAGTTATACACTTGTTTTTTAAAACCTAAATAGGCTATACGGTTCGTTTTGGTCGATCATACGGGGAGATGTCCCCAAAAGCCTCGCTTAGGCGACACAAAGGAGGGCAAGAAAAGTGTCAACTCCGGCGTGCAGAAAAATCGATAATAAAAAAACACGGATATATTGGATATTGTGAAGTTTAGACGTCATATTAGTGTCTGGGGTGTTTAATTATTATCAAATGCTTTTAAGACAAAAAAAGTTACTTCTCTGAATACAGATGACAGTCACCTGCTTTTGTACTTAAGAAACGTTTGTCAAAGTAGAACATGCGATATTTGTACGCGTGCTTCGATTTGGATTTATTAGAAATAACCGATAATCCCGCCAGCAGTTGCATTGATGTGTATAGTAGGGTATTGCGCAATCTCGTATTTTGTGTTTTACTTCTTAACGCCAGATTTTCATAAGACACAGTTTACGAAGATAACCCGACTTAAAAAAGTTGCTATAATGATAAAAGTGAGGAAAAATGACGTTTTACGTACAAATTTAACAAAGATTTAAACTGTTTCTACAATGAGAACATTGAAGAAAAATGACTTGATACGTACAAATTGATGCGTCCTCTGAAACTCCAACGCCATGACTTGTAGACGGCCTGGTGGAAGTACCAGCATCATCAGCAGGCTGAGTGAGAACCTCCTCCCATGATGTAACTCCAGATGTTTGGGGGATCTGACTTGTAGACGGGCTGGTGGAAGTACCAGCATCATCAGCAGGCTGAGTGCCAACCTCCTCCCTTGGTGTAACTCCAGATGTTTGGGGGATCTGACTTGTAGACAGCCTGGTGGAAGTACCAGCATCATCAGCAGGCTGAGTGCCGACCTCCTCCCTTGATGTAACTCCAGATGTTTGGGGGATCTGACTTGTAGACGGCCTGGTGGAAGTACCAGCATCATCAGCAGGCTGAGTGCCAACCTCCTCCCTTGATGTAACTCCACATGTTTGGGGGATCTGACTTGTAGACGGCCTGGTGGAAGTACCAGCATCATCAGCAGGCTGAGTGCCAACCTCCTCCCTTGATGTAACTCCAGATGTTTGGGGGATCTGACTTGTAGACGGCCTGGTGGAAGTACCAGCATCATCAGCAGGCTGAGTGCCAACCTCCTCCCTTGATGTAACTCCAGATGTTTGGGGGATCTGACTTGTAGACGGCCTGGTGGACGTACCAGCATCATCAGCAGGCTGAGTGCCAACCTCCTCCCTTGATGTAACTCCAGATGTTTGGGGGATCTGACTTGCAGACGGCCTGGTGGAAGTACCAGCATCATCAGCAGGCTGAGTGCCGACCTCCTCCCTTGATGTAACTCCAGATGTTTGGGGAATCTGACTTGTAGACAGCCTGGCGGAAGTACCAGCATCATCAGCAGGCTGAGTGAGAACCTCCTCCCTTGATGTAACTCCAGATGTTTGGGGGATCTGACTTGTAGACGGCCCGGTGGAAGTACCAGCATCATCAGCAGGCCGAGTGCCAACCTCCTCCCTTGATGTAACTCCAGATGTTTGGGGGATCTGACTTGTAGACGGCCTGGTGGAAGTACCAGCATCATCAGCAGGCTGAGTGCCAACCTCCTCCCTTGATGTAACTCCAGATGTTTGGGGGATCTGACTTGTAGACGGCCTGGTGGAAGTACCAGCATCATCAGCAGGCTGAGTGCCAACGTCCTCCCTTGATGTAACTCCAGATGTTTGGGGGATCTGACTTGCAGACGGCCTGATGGAAGTACCAGCATCATCCGCAGTTTGAGTGCTAATGGGCTTCCTTGATTTCTTGCGACGTCCTGGTAAATTTTCCATCATAGGTTCTTGATCCTCAGCTAGTAGTTGTCATCTAGGAAATAGAAATCAGTCGACCAGTACAAGGGTACACCTGATGGGAATAAACGATGAGTAGGTGTTTCTGTTTGATGCCATGGTCATTAGTAATCAATGTGGTTTAGTTTGTTTGGCATGGACCAGATGTGAAGTAAACGTCGTCGTGAGGGTTAACCGTTTCCAAGTTACAGCGAGTACCATTGCAGGAATTTTGCCAAGTGTTATATACATGCCCTCATATTGAGTTATAGAGAGTGGACGAGGAACTGCAAAGTCGTACACGTCTTACAAGATTCTACAATCAATTCTTTGAGTCTATACTTTGACTAAAACTATTTTGTCTCAAAACAACAAAGGTTTATACAATTGAGTCCAATATGCATCACCCCACTCTCCGTATTATTGTCCATTTTGATGTCTTAAATGGTGATTACAAAATCTTACCAAATTACAGGGGTGTATACATATGTTCCCAAATATATATGTTCCCCACCCCTAACCCTAACCCTAACCATCTATAATACTAGCCCTAACCCTAAAGATTTTTGGGAACAAAGGTATTGGGTGAACATAGGTGTTGGGCAACATCCGATAGAGCCCAATTACAGTATGGTACTATTTCTCAACATTATCTCTTTTCAATTTGTTTCCCATTTTACCTCATTGCCGCAGTACAATAATTGTAAATTTACAAAAATCCGGAGTCCGTAGTATCTGTGGTTGGTTACAAATTTACAGTTGCTGTAAATTCGTTACGAATACACAGTTAATAAAACAATCTACACTTTTAACAATTGTGTGACGTCAAAAATAGTTTAATTGGTAATAATCTGACCCCGCCCATCCTATACACCCGAACACTTAAACGTGTCTGGTCAGATTCAACCAAGGATCTAGGTCAGTTTTAAACTTAGACGTTTATCAAAACGACAAAGTCGTGTTTCTAAATCAGGACTTCAAGAGTGCTTGTTTCATATAATGTTTTCGTAATAAAAGTGCATATAAGATTTAAGGTTTTGCATGATGGGGTGTCGATAAAGTTTCGGTTTGCGGTAACACCCACTGTCGCTTAGTTAACTTAGTTCTGATATTATTCTGATAATTCTTATTATCTACTTTCGCTTAGTTTATCTGCTAAGTGTAGTAACCATAAAGGTAAGCATGAATCATGAATCAGGTCTCGGATCCCTACTGATGCCAATGAGTTGGATCAAAGCTAAGTTTGTCTGCTAAGTGTTGTTGACACTCAGCCTCAGTGAAGATACTTGCGAGAAGTACCACCGCCTTCTGAACTGCTTAGCGAAAGTAGATAATAAGCAGGACAAGTTCTTTTTATAACTAAGCAGGACTGTATTAATCAGAAATGAATATATAATAAGCGATGTAATTTATTACCAAATTGTGTTACTGCAAACCGAAACTATAACAAATTAAAGTACAGTTTTGAAATAGAAAACTAATGTGCACTCCAGTGGCATGAGACTCCCCCCACCAGCAATTTCCGCGATAGCCTCTGATTTTTTTTCGCGACCCGAGCTGATATGATTTTTTTTAGCCTCGAGCTTTGCGCATCTTTTGATACAACAACATAAAAATCGGACCACAGGTTGTCGCGTAGCGCAAAATTTTCTTCACACATGTATTTTTTTTCAAAAACAGGCCTTCAGAACACACAATTCCTGTTGCCATCAATACGTGCATTCGTAGCCCATACTACCATTGTATGCAATAGCAGCTGAGGTTATCTTACAGGTCAAAGTTGTGAATTATTAACCACAAGTAGGTTAGCATGAAGCAGGTCTCGCATCCCTACTTCCACTATGTCAATGAGTTGAATCGAAGCTAAGTTTGTCTGCTAAGTGTTGTTGACACTGGTATGAAAGTCCATTGGAACGCAATATCATAGAAGTCCTGCAATGGTGCTTCGTACAGCAGGCCTCGTGCGCCGGGCCTTTGTACGCAAACCCACCGCGTTCAACAGAAATTGGTATTTCGCAATGGTATTAGGCAGTGTAAGAAGCCTCGAATATACCTCACGTCACTTAAAGATAGCTGATGCCTTAATCTTATCTTTACAAAACGTCATTACACACTCTCCAGCACGTTTGTTTATGGTGTAAATCGAGGATTTTCTATTGTTCCTCTTTCCTTTTCCTTTGTTTAAACTTGTTTGCAACAGCTCTTATTGTTTTTCTACATGTATTCCAACCGAGGAGTCCTCGATTTGGTTCCTATTCTCAATTCGTCGATGATGTTGCACGTGTGTGTTCTCGGTTTACACCATAAACAAACGCAAACAATATGTATTATATGCGTTTTATCTAACGCATATAATACAGTACCTTCAATATGTCTATCCAGTTTCCTTTTAGAAATCTGAGTGTGAACAAGGTATTTATTTGGGGGGGGGGGGCGTGGAGGGCACCCTGTAATCATGTGTGATTGTGACTGTTTTTGTAACTTTCCATGATGACGATTATACTGTGCATCATGATGAATGAAACACAGATGTGCACTAATCCGAGTGGCAAACAATAGGACCTGGTCATGATGCAAGCACAGGGCCATGCAGGCAAAGTTGAATAGATTGTACGAATCTACACTTATTCACAAACGTGGAAATTGTGGTAAACCAGAAAGCTTGTTTGCATAAACTATTGTTGTTTTAGGTAACAAGGAGCGCCCTCAGAGATATGAAATTTTGAATAAAAAAACAAATTTCATCATTGTCTTATGGTTTTCCCAGTTTTTGTCTCCTTTAGTTGGTTACTTCATGGATATTGATATTGATTACGCGTATTGATATCAGCTGTTGTTATGCTTATACCAAACCTGTCATTATTATTCCGAGTTAATCATTAAGAGCGATACTCTGGCATTTTTGGGCAATACTTGAAATGTAACTTTATGTTCCAGTTAACTTTATATTTAAAGTTGAAATTACTGGTTTAAGGGCTTGTTGCCTTTATGATTTTTATACAAATACAAATTACCATATTCATGAGCAAAATTGTGACGTCAAGGCATACATTTCAGTTTCACATCTGCTTAAGCCTAAAATGTCACCAGAATGCTCGGGGTTAGCTGTGAATATGTTGACTGCTTGCAGTGGTTTATTGTCGTTTCAGACTGTATATGACAGTAAGAATTTAAAAAACCCAAAATATGCACTAATAATAAAACAGGTTTAAGGAAGTCAGATACTGCCATATGAATGTCATAACATTATGATAGAACGATTCGTGAGTAATATTTAATATTTAATGTTTCCTATAAAAGTACAGTATCGACATTTAGAAACCCACATAAATTAATTGTTCCAGATGAAGGAAAATTATAGCTCAGTCTAAATCTGGTCGATAATATTACATATCAAGATGTTACCCCTTTTCTTCCGCTTACAATGACAGTATATCGTAATGGCAATGGTAATCATTATTTTGGAAAATAACAAGTTGTTTCTCTTACTTTTTATTGAAATCAAACTAGAACAGTTCCTACCTTTGTTTGTTTGACTTGCTATACCGACGGGCTGTGTGTTGCAAACAGCTACCGAGACTGTGCCATCACAGTCTCACAATGAACGGGTCGGTTCACTGCGTTCTGGGCCTGATTCTGGGTACGAATTCAGACACAAACCGACCGATGTTCATCAAAGAACGAGGTTCAGTTTCACTGGGTGTATAGCCAGTATGAAAAGGAAAGCAACATGTGAGGTTGTTGCAGTGCAGAACAATTGTAAGGGTGTGCCGTGCCAGTGACGCACGCGATAAACAATGTGTGCAGATAGACTTGACAAACGTCGTCACAACGTACAGTACAGGTACCGGTACACTGAACACTGATCCACAGCACGCACC